TTATTTATACAATATTCAAGTTCACGCTCAACATATGCTGGATTGATGTTAACCTAAATCGATTATAAAGAATAGTAGAAGATAGAAGACATGAGTTTTACTTTGATTAGACCTAGTTTTGATGCAGCAAAAGTCATGGCAACATTTTGTGAAGTGTTTGGTAACCAAACAGCAAATCGATCATTTTTTTCAAAGCCTAACTCAAGAAGTGATGCAGCTAAACTATCAACTTCGTGCTTAAATGATTTGTATGTATACCGTTTTTGTTCACCTAGATAATTATATAAACATAACAAATTTTATTGATGAATGTAATGAATATACTTTTGAAAACATAACATTCATGATCAGGATATTTGGCAGCTGTTTCATCAAAGCTTTGACTTATTGTTTTATATTGTAGTGGAAGTGGTGAAACATGATGAAAATAACTTGAAGTTAACTTAGGTGATATTGAACTCTTATGTTTTTTTAATAGTAATAGTATGAATGAAGTTGTTTGTGGCTGTGTAAGAATACGTTTTGTTTGATTGATAAACATTTGTAAATCGAATACAGATTAATATCGAAACACGTTTCTTTGTGAATTTATCGAAATAAGTGAGTATGTGTGAGATGGCCATGTGTGTACGCTCTTATTTTTCATCGATGCAGTATGTGTTTAGACAATATATATGGTATGAAGAAGAAGAAGAAGAACGGTAAAAACAATGGTAAACATTGGAAAATCGAAAATAGATTATTTGACGAAGATAACATTTGTTTTCATAAGGTATATCGCTTCGTTCGATCAAAACGAAGTATTGAAAGATACAGCGTGTTAGAGATAATTTCTGTATCGAATGTTGTTTTTCTCAGAAATGAGTGAATGAATATAAAGACTAAATTATTACTTTGAGAGAAACACCAAATTATCAGTATTAGAAAAATAGCCGTTGAATAGTTAATGAACTGGTATCAGTGTGATGTTGTTTTATAGAATAACGATTTTTTTATTACCATAAAAATTGTTCAGTATTACTTTTCCCCGTATGTTTTCTTTTAAATAATTTTACTCATTTTGAGTTAATATCAAATTGTAAACTTTTTCTGTATTTTGAAGTTGCTTATTCCAACAAAGATATGTAGTTTGGTCTTCATTTTAAAAAAATAAGTCATTTTTTTCTGCTTTATATTATTAGTAATAAATCAAAATCAAGATGCATCGTTTTTCTAGAAAAGCACAGTATTTACGCATCGAAGTTACTCTGAGAACATTTTCTTCTTCTATTATTCATTAAATGCACATAGATTTTTCTAGTCTATAATACATTTTATTCTCTTCAATAATATTCTCAATACAATACCAAAATCAAATTTTATAGCATAAACTATTAGATTTACTACAAGAAACAGCGTTAGATGTTCATAACTTATTTGAAAACTAACTGGTTAATCACGATTAACCACGAAAATTATGAAAACAATCTCAGAGTTTTTAGTGATCTTGAAGATATCGATTCAATCCCATGAATTGATACCAAACACGTTAGTTATAAGGCGTACAGTTATAACACACTGCTTTACATAAGGAAGTGGCTGTGTGCACCCAAACAGTCATAAAAAATATTTAGTATAAACTAAGTTATATCAGTCTTATACGCACTAGATCTTTAACATATATGAAATGCTTTAACTTAATAGTAATTTCATATTATTAATTCTTTATTATATTCGAAAAAAAATGTAAAAATCAAGCTTTAAAATTACATAAATATTTAAAAAAATTAGTTTAAATAAATATCAATCGGTTTATGAACATTTCTGCTACTTCTTTGTTTGAACATTGTGAAAGGAAACTGAGACTTTTTCTTCGCCGGCTGAGATATCCTTGATAATTTAATTAGTGATTCTTTTAGATAACTCAATGAATCATAAATTTTCCAAATATCATCACAGTTGAAATTTGAGATTATGAATCAATGTTTATTACTTACATTCAAAATAATAAAACGCAACCGTTTTCTCCAACGCTCAAACAAGGAAGTACTAAAAATGTCTATAAACTGATTGATATTTATTTAAACTAATCTTTTTAAATATTCATGTAATTTTAATACTTGATTTCTACATTTTTTTTCGAATATAATAAAGAATTAATAATATGAATTTTCTATTAAGTTAAAGCATTTCATATATGTTGAAGATTAAGTGCGTCAAAGACTGATACAACTTAGTTTATGTTAAATATTTTCTTATGACTGTTTGCGTGCACATAACTACTACCTTTATATAATATTATTCAGCAATATATCAGGATCACAACTTATACACCCTTGTTAAATCTTTTAGACTTAAATTCATCAATTTCTCGACAACTCATATACAACTCTTACTAACGCTCACATATTTCTTCTCCATAAGAACATCAGCATACAATCATTTTTATTAATCTACTGTAAACAAAAAACAAATTATATTAATTACTGAATCATATGTAATAACAAAAAATTCTACATAAAAAAAATTGAGTTCATTTTTTACTGTCACCACGTTCTTTCAGTTCATGCACCATTGCTTCAGATAATTTAAACTTTTGTACTTTTCCTGTTGGTGTCATTATGAACTTATCAACAATACGAATGTGTTTCGGAATCTTGAAGAATGCTATTTTGTCTGTCAAAAATTGTGTAATATCATTTGGTTCACATTTTGGTGCATTCGGTTTCAGTTTAATCCATGCACATACTTCTTCACCATATCTTTCATCAGGAATAGAAAATATTTGTGCTTCGGCAACACTTGGATGTTCAATAATAACATTTTCTATTTCGATTGGATAAATATTCACACCACCACGAATGATCATTTCTTTTCGACGTGAAACAAAATAAAGATAACCATCTTCATCCA